GTATCTAAATTTTTTAAAGAATATTTTATCTGAACTGTTGAAAAACGTAGAGCTAGACATACGAAGAATAATTTGGTTTCAAAATAATGGCGTCATTATCAGAGAGACGTTAAGAACTATTTACACAGAGCGTTTGGACCAAGACTTATTGCTAAAGAAGAAGAGTACGCTTGGCCTGCATGAAGCCCTGATCTAACGCCATTAGATTTTTTTCTTTGTCATTTTTTTTCTGTGATTGCTATGATTGCTTATTAAAAAAAAAAAATAAATTGGACGAAGTCGTCTCTGGGGTGTATAATATGTTGTCTATGTAAAAATTGTCAGGCGTGAACAGATAAAATGAACACCAATATATATGTATAGTTATATGTACCAATGATTGATGGTTCCAAACACCGAACAATGAATACTGGCATATAGGTCCATGGTACAAGTCCATATTCGTTCGTGCCCTAACAAACCTAGCAATTTGGCTTTCTCTAGCATTTTCCTCCAAGCTTTAGCTTGTCCGGGGCGGAAATTTTATTGCTGCTAAAACTCCAAAAAATTATGTTTTTTACATTACACAGACGTCCAAATATGAATAGAAAAACTGCACCCAAATAATTTTGACAATGACTCTTAATTTGATTGTCAATAAACTTTGTAACACCGGCGTCGCAACTTTACAAATAATATGAAACTTTCTGACTTTGTCCAAAGTGATTTTAAAATGTTCTTGGAACACAAAAACATTGCACTTGTCAATTTATGAAAAGTGAATAATGTAAAGTGCAAAGTTTTCAGATAAGGGCCCTGCTGGTACACTTTAGAATTTGGTACAATTTCACAGGCTTTGCCCTATGAGTAAGTATGAGTTTCGAAGAATTTTTCGACTTGTTTGGACGATTCTGATCGTCATGATGAATTTTCAGAATTGACTTACTTTGCGAAAAGAGTATATTTTTTGTGACATTTCAATTTGCATTACAAAAATACAATTGTTTTTATTACATGCGAACATTTCTACAAGCAACAAAATCTTCAAGACATAATACACTGATGATACCACAGATCACATAAGTCTCTCATCGGTGTTTACAAGCAGGGACTTACAAGCACAGAACAGCTTACAAGTATGTGATCGTCACTGAAATCATATCGAGTAGTCTATATCGCTCAGGCGCGGATACAGGATTTCGTTTAGGGGGGGGGGGGGCAATTTTTGTGCGATTTTACCCATCTCCCAGAAATTCGTTCTAAACAAAAAAAATTATAAAATTTTAACTAGTATACTCTTTTTCACATAACATGGGTGACATTTGGTTGTTGTCGTTACACGTATCGTGTATAGTAGAACCTCGATAATCCGAATTAATTGGGAAAAAGGTGTTCGGATTAACGATTTGTTCGGATCAGCGATTTTCCCAAAAATATGAAAGGGAATTGAATAACAACTTCATACACAGTTGAAAACAAACTTCAAGAAATAAACCTTAATTTTATTAAACAAAATGAAAGAATTCTTAAGCAACAATGGATAATAGATACATTCTAAAAAAATATTACTCCATGACCATAAACACGCTATCTTCTTCTAATTTTCTTGTAAATTTTTGGCCTCAGAAGTCACTTCTGGCTTCATTTCTTCGATAACTTAAACCATTTTTCCATATTCGTCCAGTTGAAAATTCGAATTTCACACCGAATTTTCCGAAAATATTGTTCGGTTAACATGCTATATTTTTGGAATCAACACGTCGGAATACGAGCCCTAACAACTAAATGTTCGGACAAACTAACCGGAGCGTTCAAAAACCACTCTTTATGAATTAATTTTTAATTTTTATTATCAAATCACATAAAAATAGGAAGCTAAGATTTCAAAGAATAGTTTTTAATAAAAAAGTTGAATGTTTTACTTTACATAGAATTTTAATTCAACTATGACTGTGGATTTTTCAGAAAAAGTGAATACACTTTGGCAACTAATTATTCGGACAAATAAATAAAAAAATTAATTTTCACTAAGTAGGCGGTGTGAATTGTTTGATTGTTAATAAATATCATTCTCCTCTTCCTGCTTTACCTAACTGTGTTGTAAGATCCATAGAAAAATATATATATTCTTTAACAAAATGGTTCGTGGACGTCCACTTGAAAAATCATTACGTGCACTTATTGTAAAGAAGTATTGCTAAGGTAAAAAAAATCGGGAAATTAGTGAAGAACTGAATTTAGCAAAGTCCACTGTAGCGGACATAATCTCACATTATCGCGAAACTGGTGGACTAGACGTTAAACGAAAAAGTTCAGGAAGACCGAAATTAGTTTCAGAAAGAAGTCAAAGGCTCCTTGTAAAATTTTGTAAAAAAAATCGAAGAAACACATTGCGGGACATAACAGCACAATGGACGGATGAAATACGGCATAAGCTGTCACGAGAATGTTGTAGGAAATGGATTCACAAGTCAGGATTAAGTTTTTATAAGTTAATTTTTAAGTTTTTGGTTTACATTTGTTCCACCGTGCCGTTACAGGCCAAAGAAAAACCTTTAATAACGGCAAATCAAAAGAAAAATAGGTACAACTGGGCAAAGTCTAAGCTGGTATGGACCATGGAAGATTGGTCAAAGGTCATTTTTAGTGACGAGTCAAAATTTGATGTGTGCGTGGGAGATTTGCGGAGAAGAGTGATAAGATCAAAAAGTGAAGCGTTCAATAAAGACTGTTTAAAACGAACTGTAAAGTTTCCTAGAGGAATAATGGTGTGGGGATGCATGTCAGCTAAAGGGTTGGGGAATTATGAATTGGTGGAAACGACTATTAACGTCATGAAATACCAACAAATTTTAGAAAACAGTTTGTTGCCCTCTGTTGAAAAACTGTATCCGGACAACGATTATATTTTTCAACAGGACGGTGCATGATGTCATACCGCAAAACGTACTAAGAAATGGTTTGGGGATCATGATATAAGAGTCCTTTCATGGCCTGAGAACAGCCCTGACTTAAATGTCATTAAGACACTTTGGCACGACATAAAATCCGTTTTGCGCAACAACCCCCAACGAACACTCTTAGGTTTAAAAGCAAAAATCGACGAAGTTTGGGCAAGTTTTACTCCTGAATACTGCAGAAGTCTTGTAAGTACTATGCCTGCAAGGATACGCGCAGTAATCAAAGCAAAAGGAGATGTTACACCATACTAAGTAAAAAAAAATACTCATGTCCGAATATTTAGTTGCCAAGTTTATTCGTTCATACCAGCTTCTTGTTGTGTTATAATTTTGTTAAGTTAATAATATTACAATTTTTGTTGAGAATATTGCATTAAAGATACCTACTTATATATTACTCTAGTTTTGTTTTTGTAAAATACATTTTTTTTCATTAAATTACATTTTTTTGTATAAAAGAATACGTGTCCGAACATTTAGTTGTTAGGGCTCGTATACACATATCCCTGAATTTTTTCAGAATTTTTAGGAAACTTTTTCAAACATGAAATTTTCCTCATGGAAATTTCGACTCATTAATTACACTAGTTTTTATATCCAAAGACAAAAATAGTTGAATCTAAAGGATTTGGGTTCGGGAAATTCAAATCTGAAAGCAGAAAAAATCCATCACGTCAGGTTTTTGAGATAATTATATAAACATACCCCGGATTTTTTTTCTTTTATACAACTCTTATAACTTTTTTATTTTTAAATATATATGAACATATAGTTCTTTAAGCAAATTTGTATCATTTTAAAAGACCATTTAGGTAAATAAATAACATGAGTGTCAATTTTTCAAGCTACTAGATTGTCATCAATGTGTTATTTAAAATTTTTCAAGTATTGATTTTAGAATAATTGGTTGCTTTTGACTTATCTACGGGAAGTGATAATAAAAATGTGAGGTTGACCTCACAAAGCTCTTTTAAAATGATACAAATTAGCTCAAAGAAATACAGGTTTATCTATAAGAATAAAGAAGTTACAGGGGTTGTATCAAATAAAAGCAACACCCAGTATATATTATAAACATTATGACTGAAAATTAAAAATGGTTAACACTGACGTTCTTTTATTGGCAGTACTGTCAGTTTCCCTTATAATAGACCAACAGTAACACATTTTCGTCCCAAAAACTTTATACCTTCATTTTAAGCATATTTGAACAGGTCTTCCCGCTTTAGGTACTATAATTTTACTACAAATGTAACAAAACTGATTTGCACTTACTTTCCACGATCTCGAAGACATTTTTTATGCGACAATTGTGCATTAACATGAATCAGTTTAACACAAACGTGAAGGTAAAGCAAAGTTCATTATTTTGGATTTATGAAAAAACCTGACGTGATAAGGATTATCCGTTTTTGGATTTGTTATCAGTAAGTAATTTAGAAATAAAAAATATTTTTTTTATTTTTGGATACGAAAAAAAGTTTAAATTTGTAAACTAGTGTTATTGACGATTTTCGAAATTTACCTTAACTAAATACTTTTTCTTGTAGATTTCGGGCCTCATTTCTTCGATAATTTCAACCTTTTTTCCAGAATTAGTAGTTAATTAATTCAGTGCATTGAAATATCGCAATTTTTAAAAATTTCAAAATATTCCATACGACATATGCAGAAAGATCTTGCGTCATTTTTGCAAGTAGGTGCGTGTTTCCAAGTTCAGTTGGGATTGTAGAGTTTTTGTTCGGATTAAAGAAGCATCGACTTCAAAGAACCTCTGTTCGGGTTACTGGATATTCGGATAATCGTGAATTCGGATTATAGAGGTTGTACTGTATTTACAAAATGAAATGCGATTTCAAAATTTTGAAATTGGTCAAAATAAAGTACCTCGGTCGCGTGTCAGGGGGGGGCAATTGCACCCATTGCACCCATTGCCCCCCCCCCCCCTGGATCCGCGCCTGATATCACTTCAGTGGTAATCGTGAATTCGTAATCTGGAACCTGTGCATGTTAGGGTTTTTTGACGTCATTACGCTAGATTTGACGTTTGACATTTCGCATTGACTCATCGGTCAAGTATGGCGTGTAGAAGATAACACATCTGTCATTCTAAAATTTAATAGTGAATTTCAGTTTACCAAAAAATGATACCTTAAATATATATTTTTCAATGTAATAGAATTAGTATTTTTTATCGTGGGTAACAACAAAAATGGTGGAAATTGAGTTTATTAAAGAAGAATATCCATTACATTGGTTAGTATGGCAAAATGATTATAAACAATTAGACACCAGGTTAAAAAACAAAGAGGTAAGTGCTTCTTCATAATACATTAGTAGCAGACACATTATATTTTAGTATGATAAAGAGAAAATAGATAACAGAGGACGAACCCCCTTAATGTTGGCTGTCACGTTAGGACATTTGGAATCTGCCCGAACTTTGTTAAATAACGAAGCTAATGTAAATTGCGAAAATGTTGAAGGATGGACGGGTAAGGAAATGAAAATGGAACTGTTGGTGATAAATTTGCGTATTTAGTTGTTCAAGAGGCAGTAGCCACAGGCGACCCAGAACTTTTACAAATGGTTTTGGAAAGACGTGATTTCCAAAGATATTCCAATCGAATGGCTGGCATCCCTGAATTACTGCAGAGATTGAAAGAAGCACCAGATTTTTATGTTGAAATGAAGTGGGAATTTACTAGTTGGGGTGAATATATATATATATTTTTTTTTCTGTAATACACTACCTGACAAAAAGCCTGGACACTTGAATATTTGTAACTTTACGCTAATGTTTAGTTTTATAACTTTTTTTTCTGTTTTCAAATAAAGTTATGTTTTCTGTTAATGAATACATTCATGTTTTTGCATGATTTTTGGAATATTTGTTACAAAAGTTCGACCAGTTGCAAGTAACCGCAAAAAATTCAAGTGTCCAGGTTTTTTTGTCTGGCAGGGTATTTGGTAACAGAAAAATTTGAATTTAGTTTCTTTTCATTAAATCAAAATGAAGGGTAACTCTTGTGAAAATTAAAGATTAACTTATCAAGAAATTATTTGAAACAAAAATAAAAACAAAAAACACCCTTCTTACTTTCCGAGCATAAGATAAAGAAGTATTGCAATAGGGTCCAATTCAACGAATGAACGCTATTATGTATGTTTTCTTGACTTTTCATGATCCTTTAAGAGTACGAAAAAGTGAGTCTTGCGTTTCCGTCCGTTTGGAAGTGTGTGTCAAACCTAGTGGTCCAGTTTTTTATGGCCGCGACTGTACGTAAGAAATATCGTGCACATGCTAAAACACTAATCAAAAATTTTCTGAACATCCCCACCACCAATGGGGTAACGCCATCTCCACAATTTACAGTAGTAAATGTTATTTAAATTTTATAAAATAACACACTCCAGCACTTGTGGTTTATGAATCCATGTTGAGTTTTTACTCTAGACATCCAGATTAAAAAAAATAATAATAATAAAAATTGTGTAACTACATTTTGCAATTTAACTTTAGAAGTGCAAAACTGAATACTTAGAAATTTTGCAAACTTGTTAAGGTTATCATAAGCATGGTAAAGCGTTAATCAAAATTTGTCCGTTTATCCCCTCCAATCCTATCTAAAATATGCAAAATATTATCATAAATATAGTGGATTTATCAAAAAAAAAAAAAATCGTAAGATTAATTCTTATAACTGTTTAAAAAAGTTGGATAACGTTCGACCAATTTTTTCTTATGATGCTGTAAATGTAGTATTAACGCATAATATAGTATGTAATGTGGCGTTAATTACAATAAATATATAATAATAATATAATAAATTATAATGATGGATTTCGAACATACATACCTCCTTTGTCTAATGTTAATTTGTTTATTATTTTAAACAAGCACGGAACAAAAAAGGCAATACTCTGAACAGAAGTTACCAATATTACCTGCTTCTTGTTAATTTACTTATTAAACATTTAAAAATCTGACAACTTCTAATGTGTTAATCAACACTCTTTTGTATTTTCAGTGCCTCTAGTGTCAAGAATGTGCCCAAGTGATACTTACAAAGTGTTCAAGCAAGGTTCTAACGTACGAATAGACACAACTCTGTTGGGTTTTGACCATACTTCTTGGCAACGAGGAAACCGAAGTTACATATTTCATGGTCATAGTAAGTATATATGTATCTATGTACTAGATAGGAGTATATATTACAGGACTTTTCTTACTTTCAGTGCAGTAAATGTAATATTAACTAAATGGAAAATTATTGAACGTGTAATATACCTTCTTTTAAATCCTTACTGCAGAACTAACTATATTTTTGTGACTTAGGGCCAGATTATAGAATATTTTAACTGAGATTAAGCTAATCACGCATTTAACGACGTCTGATTGGTGTAGAGTCGGTCATGTGGTACTTTAATGCCGTATTAAAAATTTAATCGCAATCAAATATTTAACTGAGCTTCTGTAAACCGGGTCTTATTAATGCTTTAAATATCTGGCATGGTCAGTATTATTTTTTGTATTCCACAATCATAATCAAAATACTACGTACAGCGCAAGGCATACGAGTGATGAAGTTATACATATACATGTTCACAATGTGTTAACTCAACTTTTTTTCGTAAAAACAACGTAGTGTATATATCTATCAAGCATTATCCATTACTGCATATATTTTAAGGTCTGTTACAAACTTATATTTTTCCAGGCTCGTCAAAGCCGTAGTTTGTAAAAAAATTGTACTCTTTATTTCTTATTTTTAAAATTAACACCTAGCGCGTTAGTCACAATACCAAGAAATGCCATGTAAGGAATGTTCGAGAAAGAAAGTGCATATTTTTATTTGAAAATTATTCTAAATACCACTTCAGTTTTTATTACGTGTGCTGCAGAAGTGTAGAAGGAACTATCACTGCCTGACCTTTCAAAATTAGTAGTTGTTTTTTTTTTTCAAATAATTTTCATAGCTAGTAAAAATGTCAAGAATTTGTAAAAAAAAAAAAAAAAGGAAAGAAATAGGCTACTTGCATGAATCTTAATGTGAATTTCAGGGCATAACACATGGACGACGATGTCATTAATCGATGTCTGTAGAAAATTTCGAATACATTGCTAAGAATAGTTGGTTAAAACGTGTTTAAATTACTTTATTTCATTTTTAAATGAGGACATACGGTTTGTGACGTCATACACCGCTATAAAGCACTATGCAACGTGTTACAGAAAAAGGTAAATTAAATTTAACCACGAACAGAACTCGTCAACAGAAAACACTTTTCTATTTGGCATTTAAAAAAAAATTGTCACAGTTTTACCCCCTCCCCCATTATTTAACGAGCCGGACATGCATTTCTTCAATTGTTGACCGTGAATTTCACTTTCGATGCATCAGGTGGAAAGTGTTTGTTTTTACCCAATTTTTTGGCGAGTTGGCTAGCGATAACGTTTTACAGCTTCCAAACAGTTAGTTCCTTTTCGACTTTCCTTTGAGGTGTTTTCACTTTTCGTTGTGTGAAGTTATGCCCCGCTATTCGAACAGTGAATACACGAACATGGTGCTAGTGTATGGAGAAGCCCAGGGAAATGCAGTGCAAGCATAAAGAATTTTGATATTCTTGAAATTTTGCGTTTGTAAATAAATTTCAAATTTTGGCAGTTTGAAATTATTTGTCAAAATGCCAGCATCATTTCGTATTGATAAAGCGAGAATTATGTCTTCGCGAAATTGGTATGTCATATGTAGTCCAGTCATTTTAGGATAAAAAAGGGATCAATCTCGGAATGAGAGATAATAAGCTGAATTTTTGTATATATCTTAATTTTGACGTTTTAAAAGTTGTGTCAAAAGTCTCATAAAATCTCGTGTCTGCGTCGTAAGTTATTCAAGGTCAAAGATGAAGAAAAACAGTTTTTTGCGATTATCTCGGTTTCTATTGCTCCAGTGATGTTAACATTTATTATCATAATTGTAGAGCACAAAATTTGGGACAAATTTTATTTGAAACATTTTTTCATGCGCTCAATCGTTTTTGAGATAGAGGGCAGTGAGCGCGCAGCGCTCATCCATACGTACTGTAATGCAATCAACCGTGAATATCTTTGAATACTACCTTGAATTTTGAAAAATTTGTATTATTTATCAATTAGTACATTGTATTTAAACATTTTACATATTTTCAACATATTCATTGAATAATACTTACCTACTTTGTGTAATTAAAAACGCATTTAATGAAATATTTATGTATATCTCAATTTATTTATATCTTTAAAATGTGTAAGGTTTTAAAAACTTATTTTTCGATCATGATTATAATTGGAAGGTCTGGAAACAACGATTCAGGGCACCGAAGATGATGACGATGAAACAGAAATTCCCGAACGTCCAGAAAATGACGGTGAAGAAGAAGAAAATTAATACTTTTGTTCTTTAAATTATTAAAGATTTCTAGATTTTCACTGAAATTCAATTTCAATCGTAAGAAATGTACAGGTACTGAACAAAGATAAAATTAAAATGCATTAACTCGTTTTACTTCCTTAAAATTTACTTTGAAAAAATTAATATAACTTTTAGATATATAATAATATAACAAGTATAATATATTATCTAATATATAAAAACTTACACATTTGAAAGATAAACTACATAATTATTTTTTTACTTAAAATCTACTTTCAATAAATTAAGATATACCTACAATAAGTATTTCATTTAAATAGATTTTAATTCCACAAAGTAGGTAAGTATCATTATCATTCAATTAATGTATTGAAAATATGTAAAATGTTATTAAATGCAATGTATTAACTGATAAATAATACAAATTATTCAAAATTAAAGGTAGTATTCACAGATATTCACGGTTGATTGCATTACAGTACGTATGGATGAGCGCTGCGCGCTCACTGCCCTCTATCTCAAGAACGATTGAGCGCATGAAAAAATGTTTCAAATAAAATTGGTCCCAAATTTTGTACTCTACAATTATGATAATAAATGTTAACATCATTGGAGCAATAGAAACCGAGATAATCGCAAAAAACTGTTTTTCTTCACCTTCGACCTTGAATAACTTACGACGCAGACACGAGATTTTATGAGACTTTTGAGACAACTTTTAGAACGCTAAAATGAAGGTATATACGAAAATTCAGCTTATTATCTCTCATTCCGAGGTTGATCGCTAATTTGACTGGACTAATGGACAAATTTCGGCTTAGTTGGGTATTGGAAAGGCTACTATTATACTCAATTGTTCGCAAGTGGACAGCGACTGGCTAAGGTAAGGTTAGGTGTTCATAAACCCACATTTACAATTTAATGTCAGTGTAATGTGAAGTGGTTTGAAATATTTTGTCCGGAATAGTACAATACAATAATAGACAATTAGCAAAACCACGTTCCGTAGAACGTACACCACGCAAAACGTAGAACAAACTGTTATATCTAGGGAAACATAGAAAATGAACTGTCCCTATAGGCGATTGTGTACGTTAACGGATATAAATACGTTGTACCGAACGTAATTTTGCTAATTGTTTAAAGACATTATTATCGCATGGTCCAATGAAAATCCTCATGCGATACAGGGAAGCTATTTTCAAAACAGATTTTCCTTTAATGTTGGGGCGGAAATGTTTGATAATAATTTGATAGGCCCATACACCCTGCCTTCTCGTTTGACAGCCGACGCCTATTTAAAGTTTCTGAATATCAATCTGGGCCATCTTCTAAAAGATGTACTCGTAGCTACGCAAAGAGACGTGGTATTTACACGATGGAGCTCTGCTTATAATGCTTTAGTAGTGCGGAGATGGTTGAACTTAAATTTTATAGATAAGTGGGTAGGAAGAAGTGAACCAGTATTATGACCACCTCGTTCCCCGATCTCAACCCTTGTGATTTTTTTCCGTGGGGTCACATGAAACTGTTAAGTCTACCAAACTCCTATCAATAGTGTGGAAGAACTGACAAACGCATTTGAAGATGTTTTTCTGAGAATTAGAGCAGATCTAGAATTAACATACTTTTTAGCGATACTGTATATTGTACAGTACAACAATTCCCGCTTCATTGAAAAATTATAAAATTTGTTTGTACGATTTTTTATTTATTTTTTTGTGGTAACCTCTCTGCAGTAAAAACAATATATATGTATACTCGTATAATACTAGTTACAGTGTAAGAGCAAAAAGAAAATAGCCATGTTGGGGATTGAACGCGCGATGGTTTTCGTCTTGCAAATTCGACTATTCGACTGTTTTCGCTATGGAGCTTGTGGGCCGGTGTTGACCGTAAAAGATTTATTATAATACTCTGTATTTTTTTCTTAGGAAAATTTAGATTCCTATGGGAAAAACTCAAAGCGGATTCAGACACCATAAGTGTAAGAGTTTATTATTGTTTAACATTTATTTTAATTCAGACATTTTTGAGATGACGTCGTCAGATTGTTGGTGGGGATGATTTTCGAGGCGAACAAAATAGATATGAATAAAACACGTAATAAGAAAAAGAATAGTAATGTAATACAAACACAAAGGGCCAACAGACGAAATGTGTACATTAAAATTGGAACTTGAAATATACGAAGTATAAAAGGAAAATAAGAGAAATTAGTAGAGGAAATGATAAAAACATAAAGTGGAGATACTCGGAATTACGCAAACAAAAAAGAAGGGAAGACGTATCACAAGAATACATAAAAGATCCTGGCTGTTCTGGTCAAGAGTAGATAAAAAAAAGAGCGAAAGAAGGTGTGGGATTAATGGTAACACGATATAAGTTAAAGTACGTAATTAAAGAAGACCATATTTATGAAAGAGTATTAAAGATATATAGAAATGAAAATACACTCCCCACAAAAATTATCGCACCACCTCCAGTCCTAGTGAACCGGACTATATGTAGCTACCATATACATATCAGGGATGCAAGACAATGCCAAATAATGACAATATTTAATGTGATTTCGACCGATATATTTCTTCTACATAGGCATACTCAAATTAGAAATATACAAAATTTTCTAGGTGGTGCGATTATTTTTGTGGGGAGTATATTTGACGAAGGATAGTGGACAATGATAATAGCCTATGGAGAAAACGAAGATGCAACAACAGAAACTAAAGTTCAATTCTAAGGCTAACTGCAAAAAGCAATAGATGGCGTAAAATGAAACAGAAGATAAATAAATAAATATATAAACTGGAAATAACAAAATACCGATAAAAACATCAAAATATACTAACTGCAAAATTAAAAAAAAAAACAGACACACTTGGAATAGAAGAAAAATGGATTGAATTAAAAAATACCGTGATGGTTGTAGCATGAAAAATAATAGAATGGTGGATCGCAGGAATAAAGCAAATAAAGAGAAAAAAGGTGGCTGGAAAAAATACAGCTATAAATAGGTACAAAGAGATCAGAAGATAAGAGACTTCGAAAGAAAAACGCAAAAAAGCGAAGCAAACGATAAAGATAGCAAAACAAGAATCATGGATAAAATTTAGAGAAAAGATGACCCAAAACTAAAGAGAAAACCAAAAACTACTTTTCGGAACACATAAGCAGTTAAAACAAAGGAATATAATATAAGTAACAAAAGACAATAATGGAAACATAATCACAGGTGAAAACAAATAATGGGCAGATAGCAATATTTCCAAGAATTGACAAAGGATGATCTAAATGAAGAGGAAAAACATGAGCAAAATAAATCACAGAAAATAGAAACAATACAACAAGGGCCTGAATCAGTAAATACAGGAAGTAAAGATACCAAAGCACTGCCATAATTATATACTATCCGGAAAAATCTTGGCAAAAAAATGGAAAGAAAAAAGATTAAAACCAATGCATTCAGTGTGAGTTCAAAAGGGGAAGAAGCGCACAAGATATAGTATTTGTAATCACGTAGAGATGTACCGACTACAGTCGGCCGACTGTTTATAAATGCAACAGACAGTGTTTTTTTTTTCTATTTCTCTGACTACCTTAAAAACTTGTTTTATTTTAATAAAAGGAATAACTGAAGTTTCTTTTTTTTCCAAAAAATGTGTTAAATTTTTTTGGATAATTTTAACATTTAATTTTTTGTAGTAACTCAGTACAAAAATAAAGAATAACACAATTTAGGGCAGTTTATACAATACTTAACCAATTTTAACCACTTTTTTGGAAAATTTTTGGAAATTTTGAATTCGCTTTGCGTGTTTATTGGCCCATATATCGTGACGGCGATTTCAGAATCGTAACTAGCGGAAGATTATCTACACTTTGACACCAATTTTCGGTCGATTAAACTAATTTTAACCGGTTTTGACAAAGCCGACTAGTCGGCCGACTGCAGTCGGTACATCTCTAGTAATCAGACAAGCCAGCGAAATATTTGTAAACAAGAAAAAAAAAAGTTTTATAGACTTGGAAAAAAGGTTTAACCGTATATGAAGGGAACACATGGAAAATTATTGTCAGAAGCAACAATAAAAAATCAAGAGTTTAACACAGCCGGGAATAAAACAGGGGTGTGTGCGATCTACTAGTATACTCAACGAGTATGAGACAAAGCAACAAGGAAAGCCCAGAAAATAATGAAAAAAACTAAAAATGAGTTTCACGCAGGTGCAACCAGTTTACCTGAGTTTGCAGATGATATAATTGCAAAAACAGCAAAGATGTACAAAGTAATTTAGAAATATTAAACAAGGAGATAACAAAAATAAATTATGAAGACAAATCTCGAAAAGATAACCTTAGGCGAAAAGAAAGTGCATAACATAAAACTTCAAGGAAAAGTAATAGAACAACAATACGCAACGGAAAAATAAATCAAGGAGTAAATGAAAGAGTGAAGAAAACAGGAAAATGTTTAGCGAGATAGGAATAACATTCCTAGCAAAAAAGAAATAGAAAAAATGGGAAGACAAGCTTTCATGTAAAGAAAAAACACTACAACGGTACCTAGTAAAATTTTACAACTGCTACTTTGAGGAACTGTCGGACAATGCAGGGGAATAATGACGCCAATAAAAGGAGCGTGCCACCAGTTGGCTAGAAACATCCAAGGTTGCATTGAATTTGTGATTTATGTTTTTGTGGATTCAACCTTCATGGTTAACTTTGAAATACCAGTAAAATTGTACTAGGTACTCTAATAGTGTTCTTTCTATAGTGAAACATGATCAACGACAGAAAAAATGAAAAGCCGTGTTAATATACCTAATCGACATTTATAACCTTAAAAAAAAATAAAAACAAAACCAGGGAGGATAATAAGAAATGATAGATACTGAGAGATATTATAAATTAGACCGGTAAATGATAAAATAGAAGAACTAAAGTGGTTCGAGCATGTGTGTCGTATGCCAAAAGAAACTAAAAAGTGTATCAATCGCCTGTACAGGGAAGAATAAGAAAGGAAGACCAACACGAAAATGGAAAGATGTGTTAAGGAAGCTGCAGCAAGAAAGGGTATCGTATGGACAGGAATTAAAAACAAGACCGAAGATAGAAAACAGTGAAAGGAAAGATGCAGAAACAACTCAACTTCACCCGCCTTACACTTAACGGTAAAAAGGCACAGGATTAAGAAGAAGAAATTGTATGTATAACTTGATATATGTTATATGCTGAAGAGGAACAGACTAATAATAGTGAAATATCAGATGTTGGTAATTACTCAATGGGTTACTTTTTTTGGAAATTTGTGTTGGGGAGTAATTTCTTCCACTCGCTGGTTTGGTTTATTTAATAAGTGCATTATATTTGCAAAAAAAATGTAACCCATCAAGGTACTACTGCATCTCATATCACATTAATTCAACTAAATATTCTTCAAACTTTTAAACGTGAAGTGGTTGGTGTGTCGTCGGTAATATTCATATATTGATATATGTATATAACTTGCTAACAATTACAACTGCGGCATTCAAGTCACAAAGTACCATCGAATTTATAACTGAGAAAACTAAAAACCATTCGTAATTTATTTTTAATTTTAAAAGATCACATATTGCTCTTTCAATAATTCTGCTATCCCGGCTAGAAATTTTTATTTTAAAATATTTTCAAAAGATTTGACTTTTTACTTCCCGAGCAAATGCTAAGGGAAGTATTTTATAATAGGATAATAATTCACAAATATTTAATTTCATGCTTTCTTAGCTTTTCACAACTTACAGAATACAAAAATCAGGTTTTCAACAAATTGCAATTGTTATTGCTTGTTGTCAGTTTTATTAAGAAATTTCAGAAATCATTTAACAGGCTGCTATTAAGGTTTAAACATATCTTGAGATTGCGCTAAATCAGATTTCTCCACTCGTTTATAAAAATTGGATGTCGTTTTATTAAATGTACGCTGACCTTTTTAGTGTTAAATACACGCGTTATCAAAAAAAAAGATTTGAACATGAAATTTTACTTCAGCTGATTTAACTTTTGGTTAAGGCACTAAAACACTAATAATTTGATAACAGTGGTTTAAGAATTGCAGAATATTCAGTAAACTCTATTTCTCCGTGCTTTCCAAAAAGTTGCTGTCATTGCATGTTTATTTATAAATAACTGGAAACTCGTCGAATTGCCTTGGAATTCTGGTTGAATAGTTTTTAATGATGAAAAATAGTTGATAACATCATCTCAAAAAAATATTATATTAATCTGTCGCAAACAAGTGAGGGAAGGTTTAGGTAAATAACTTTTTATAACTGTTAACAATTAACGGAAAGACATTTATAGGGTTTAGACTTTGTCAATATTGAAAATGGTTTTTATATTTCGCCCACTTTCATAGCATCTTCAGGAAACAAAATAACACGCGTTGTAATTAATGTATGTAGAGTAGAGTAAAATATTTTCAGAGTTTTTACCGTTACTGCAGCAAATGATCCCGCATGCGTGTCAGACAACCAAGTGAAAATGTTTTTTATCGAACATACAACCACAATTAAAGATAACATTTTTTTAAATAACAGTTATAACAAATTTAAGCACTTTCACATGCCTTTTCAAAAAATAAAATAAATGTATTATTTTATATAGCATTATTTGAAATGAGTACCAAAAACAACAAAATTATGTGGAAAAAATCACAAGTGTTTCAATTTTACTCTCATGACATTTTTATTTTGTTTCTACACTGACTTTCAAAATATAGTGATTTTATCTTCACTTATTCAGTCTCATATTGTTCAATAAAAATGTGAGTGACGTCATTAATCTACTTTCGAAATAAATTAATAATCTGATTTTAGTTTATATTCTGTGTTCCCTAAATCTGTGTTACAATTTCACCAAAATGTGGATTCAATATGTCTTATGTGCGATTCCTTTCAGGATAATCTTTGCACATAAAATCAAAAATAAGCGTGGATTGTTATACAGCAGGTGAAACATCGTATCTTACACATTTAAAGTGTAACATAATCATAACGGTACTTTGAGATGGTGTTTTTAAAGGCTGGATAAATAGAGAAAATTATTATGATTAGCGTTTTACCAACGGCGCTGAAGCTAAAGCGCATTTTAAATTTAGACAGACAGACAGAAATGAAAAACCTATATTTTTGAATTCTACAAGCTATGAAATGCCAAAAAAAAAACAAAACTAAATATTCGTCAGTAAAATCTGTTATAATGCTTCCTTAAGCAATTAGCTGAGAAGTCATTAAGTGTACTCTTACTAAAATTAAACTATAGGTGATGGTGCTACTATGATGGAAATTAATCATGACATCAAACAGGTTTACTGTGAAGAAATGAAAACTCCCGATGAAGCACTTGGAATTCTAATACCAAATGAGGAATCTGTTTGTCAACGTTTAACAACGCCTATTGTAACTACATATGTTGATACAGACAAAATAAGCTTTGAGAGGTATATTATTATATATTTATATTGCACACAATATTTAAAGTCTTTTATCCTTGTTAAACTAAATTTTTTTATAGAAATAAAGCCGGAGTTTGGGGTTGGCGGTCTGATAAAAGTGAAATTATAAATGGTCATAACTGTAAAGTCTTCAGTGCTTCTAACGTAGAATTAGTAACTAAGACGAGGACCGAACACCTGACAGAAACAGACAAAGCTAGGAGTAAAAACAGTAAAACGCCGTTACAAAATTTTCTGGGAATAGCGGAAGTTGAAGAAAACCAAGCGTCAACGGCTCATCAAAAAGAATATATAAATTTAAGTAACCCTTCCAATATTACTCCAGAAGAATATTTTGATTCAACTGTCAACTTGGAAGGTCGTGACATAGGTCGACCAAAAGAAACGAGTATTAAGATACAGAAATTTAAAGCAAACTTATGGCTGTGTGAACAATATCCTCTGTCTCTACCTGAACAGATTCTTCCTATTGTCGATTTAATGGCAATCTCAAGTTCACATTTTGCCAAATTAAAAGATTTTATACAAATGCAGTTACCTTCAGGCTTTCCAGTTAAGATTGGTAATAAAGTATGATCAATTTAAATCATTGCTTCAAAAGCATTTTCTATTGTTCACAGAAATTCCGCTATTTCATGTTCTAAATGCAAGGATAACATTTGGTAACATTTTCGCGCTAGATATTCCGGTTCCTCACGTCAATAGGATACAAGAGGATGACAGGCTCACCTGTATACTAGATGAGTGTATCTTTCAGTGCCCTTCAGGATATTCTCAGATTGGTAATGGTAATGGATAATATGTTTTTTTTCTTTGATTTATGGGAGATTATTTTATTATTTTCGTTTTGTTAACATTCATTTTAGTTTGTTTTTTTTTCAATATAAATACGTTACAGCAGCGGCTGATGGACGCCGGCAGTTCAGCATGGAAGAAGAAGATGACCTTCTTCAATTTGCCATTCAACAAAGTTTGATTGACGTCGGCACAGAAAAAGAGGAAGTATGTACCTTAAAATTTGTAGCCATATGTTTACTTAATGATATTATAGGTAGACATTTGGGAAGCATTAAAGGCTCAAAAACCATCTCGGCCAGCAACACCAAACATGGTTGGTGAAGAAGAAAGACAATTACAAAGGTAATTTTACCGTTATTTAACGTAACTTGTTCTTTTCATTACTGCTAATGTTTTTTACTATTCTTGTTTTTTAGTCTGCCATTTTTAATCAACTTTGTTATTTATAGAGCTATTCAAGCCAGTCTAGAGCTTTACCAGCAAAGCCCAGACGTAAATGATACTAATTCTGGCCCTGATATAGATTCTGATTTACACATGGCACTGATGCTATCTGAACGAGAATGTCAGAAACAAGAACAACAAAGGCTACAAGAAGAAAAGTTACTCGAAGAAGTATTGCAATTATCTCTTACAGAAAAATAGGATTGATGTTAAGAACTATAAATGATTTTTTGGTCCATAAACCTTAAGTATAATGGTGATAAAATTTTAAAAATGGTTTTGAATATTACACATTTAATTTATAGTAAAGTGTCGTCATAGTAATGGCAATAGAGTAGAATTGCCAGAATCAAAATTAAACTTTTGGTTAGTGGAATCACTGCCCTTAAAGTAACTTAAAGATATGTAAACAAAACGTCCTAAATAGTTTTATATTTTACAATAACGTTTTTCTTTTAAAATAAAATATTTTCTGTTTATGTTACTGTGACATTTAATATGTAGAATTATAGGACTGATTTTACAGTAAATGTGTTATCTTGACATTATAAATACTGCAGTTATTATTTATTTGATAGTTCCTATTGATTTATTTATTACTATCCATGTTGATTTTTTTTTAAGTCGTTTAACAATAAGGTGCTTTTATTGAAGGGTTAGGCAACAGCAAAGTTTGTTGATAAAAATGTACATAATCCTTAATTAACCTTTAATAAAATGTTTCTTCCAGTAGCTGATTTTTAAATCGCCTTCCCCGGTGATAATTTAAAAATTTTACAAAAAATTAATTGAAAAAAAAAAGTTTTTCAACAGCTGAAACCATATAGTTATCAAACAATGTACCTACGAAACTGTAAATGTACTTACTGCAGTGCTATGATTTTCAAAAGTTTGTTCTTTTTTTCTTACAATTGCCGAAACCAAACGGAATTAGAATGAACGATTTTTTCGCATGTGTTTTCATGTCATGTTCATACAGCTAATGCGTAAAACATTCATTTTGTCACAACTTTTTTTTTTTAATTTAACATTGCTCATAGCGTAAGTATTTTCGGAAGCAATTTGTTAGAAATAACGACGAAGAAAAACCGTTGTTTATAATGAATTAATACCAAATTAATTATACAATTATTTTATTGTTAAAATGCACGCGTACAAAAAATGTGCAACTTGTCTTTTCTGGCGTCCCCAACAATTTTTTAATTCAATCGCGCTTCGTTAAAAAACTTCACTTTCATGCACCATTGTATCTTTTACACAGTTAATTATTAATTTTTTAAACATCCTGTACAAATAATCTAATACAACATATATTACTAAAGTACAAAGAACGTCGCATCTCTGAACACATTTTTAAACAAACATTTAATACATTTGTGTAATGGCGTCATAACTTTCTGAAGGGGATGAATAAATTTTAATATTGCTGTAATCACGAAATCAATGTTAAATTGTCCAATTTACAAGAATGTTCTTTATAAATTTTAAGACACCTTTTTTTTAAGATTTTGTATAACAATAATTCATACAGGTATTTATTTAAAATATGAGTATATTTATTTCTAATACTATATGTATATTATCATGGAGGTAAACTTCTAAGGCCTCAAAAGATGCCGAAATCGTAGAGCAATATATCGGTTCTCTCTATCGTGGTAAAAAAAACTTATAAACCATAAAGAAGGGTATTTTTGTTAATAATCGGGTACAAATGCGACATATTTGTTTACAGAAAATATATATTAATATGAGTGATCCATAATACAGTAACTAACTACATAAAATGCAATTCTGGGTGATGACGAACTTGCTAATAAATTAAATAGTTTCACGTTTTCTTCTTTGATGGAGATACAAGTGTGTTTGCTTTTGAACCATCGATTCCTAAGGCTGATGAAAGTAATCTTACAACACTTTTAACGTCTGGATTATCTGATTCTGAAATAAATTGAATAATAATCAAGTTTGTAAATTCGAAATCTGTACCTTCCGCTGTTATTTGTTTCTCCAGTTTTAGTTTTTCTTTGTTCATTTCCAACATCCCTTCTTCTATAGTACCCTGAGAAATAAGTCTATATACTGTTACTGGTCGAGTTTGCCCCATTCTGTGACATCTATCTTCGGCTTGTTTGTCATTATACGGATTAAAGTCGATGTCATGTATAATCACAGTATCTGCCGAAGTTAAATTAATTCCTAATCCTCCTGCTCTTGTTGATAACAAAAAAATGAATATACTACTGTCTTCCATATACTCGTCCACAAGTTCTTGTCTTTCAGTGACGGGAGTGCTGCCATCCATTCTCAGATAATTATGGTTTCGTATTTTAAGATAGTCTTCCATTACGTTTAGCATAATTACATATTGACTAAAAATAAGAACCCTGTGTCCATGTTGTTTTAATTCTGCTAGAACTTTATCTAAATATAAAAATTTTCCCGATGTTAAAATCAAATTATCTGGAAGTATATAGCGTTCCAAACTCTGAAAAAATAACATGTAAATATTTTAAATTAATTACTAAGTTTATTTTATTTATATTTCTAGTGCATTATCATTGAAAATTTTATATAAATCCGGAATATAAAGAAAGCACAACTTTCTTTTCTGGGAATAATGGATGTGTTTCTTATAAATAAATATGTAATAGCTACATATAAATAAACACAAACGAAATTATTACTACGTACCCTATAAAGTTTTGCTAGTTTGTTGATTTCAAAGTCTGACATAAACAATAAATCTTCAACGATGTACTCCGCAACGGTATCCTTGTAATTTGGTTCTTTAGCTAGAAGTTTAGCAATTTCTTTTACTTGATATTCATCATAATGATACCGCAACAGCAGTGGATGATTGCTCAATTTTCTCAAATCTGTCATAATACTCATACCATTGTATGTACCTTGTTCATTAACCTATAATAATAGATTTCTATAGAAAAATTAAAAACAAAGGCTTTTTAATTACCGTGACATTTTGATAAGACGCAACTAAAGCTTCATACTGTTCTTTCTGGGTGGGTGCCAGTGGTACTTTCATAACATGGTCAATTTTCTTGGGCAGATCTTGTAAGACGTCGGATTTTAAACGTCGTAGAACAAAGGGTTTCATAATACGTTTGGCTTGTTCAATTTGTTCTCTTTCAAACGCGGGCAAAGAGTCATCCATTTGCTTGGATTTCTACAAATTTTAATTAGATGATTATTTCACTAAAAGTGGTTTACTAACAGATGTCTTCTGGAAAAGGCTCTTAAGATCATCGGTTTTTTCTGCAAACATCTTTGGCATAACAAAAATCAATAAAGACATCAACTCAAGCAAGTTGTTTTGTAGTGGTGTTCCTGTCAACAAGATTCTATGTTTAGCCTAAAAAATAAATATACAACTCAACTTATAGTATAATTAGACAAAAATACATTTATCCGGATTAAATTCTCATATCGTTGCGTATTCATATTCTTCAACATATGTGCTTCATCGAAAATTACGTAATGCACTGGAGTTACACGGAACATTTTTCTTTCTTCTGGACTATTTGCCACTAGATTATACCTAAAGATAAATTTGATTAAAGAAAATAATTAAGAATGTACAGTCGCATATTGAAAATTGGACCACCTCCAAATTTTGCGGTTTAATTCATGTTTTGTTTGACAAATCAAAAAATGTTGACAAAGGCAAATCAGGAGCGTACATTCAAATTACTATTATATTAAAAAAAAATAAAAAAGTAATAACAACTAAAACTTTGTTAAAGTCGCCGCACAATGAAAAAAACAAAAACGGACGATCCGAACCTCATTCACATCTAGACTTCGGGTTGCGTTGCTTACAACTCGTGTTTTCGCCCAGGCCAGGGGGTCGATTCTCGAACTCGTTCGAATAAGTTCCGCATACGCAAGTGACCAATTTTCGAGCGGTTTTGAAGATTCGGTATTCTCGAACCGCGCGCACACGTTGGTATACGCAAATGTTCGAGCGTATACGAACGTCAAGTTACGAGTGGGTAGATGCGATCGCATTTTGGTTTGCGAGTGGTGAAAGCTAACCTAAAACTCGGTTTGATTTTGGTCGTTCTGTTGTAACGTCAATATAAAATCTTTCATATGCTGTATCTGTTAGTATACATTAATAGAAAGGGTTACCATTCCAAAAATACACAAATTGTAATGTATCAATTTGATTGTGAGAATTTTATAATTTCATTTACAATTTTGACATTTGTGATGCAAATTTAAAAATTTTAAATAGAAACAGCCGATTTCTGTGTAGTACACATAATAGCTACATATGTATGAAGAAACAACGCACTATTGCGATATTTTGGGTAATTTCGAATAATACATTAACACGTTCTTATTATGGTTGTAATAATAATTTTTAGGTGACTCTGGCTAGCCACTGCGAACATTTCAAATACGTATACGTGCAGTTGTTTCAAATTTCAGTTTTCATTTACTGTACAAAACGGTTGTAATGGTATGCATAAGTATACCTGAATAAACATCGGGTAACCAAACCCTAAGAATTTTCTATAAACTAGGAGAGTACACGCAGTAATAAAGGTATTAATATGCAAATAGCTGCTGGCTGTGGAGGTCTCACTCAAAAATAAACATTAAGTTTGTATCTGCATCATTGTAAAAAAATCACAAGAATTTGTATTAAATACGTAGGGTTGCATAAAATCGTAAAATCAACAATTTTGTTTAATCACGATTTTTTTATGTTTTTTTAGTCTGTCAATTATTTGGAATTAAAATCCTAATTAAAATAGTAAGTATCCGACTTAACGTCATCCTTGAGTCGTACTTCTTAGTTTTGAACAATAAAGAGAATTTATTGTAATTTACATTGCAAAAAAGGAATTGATAGTGTTATTAATATAATATTCACTCCTATAATCTTTAAAATACAATTTAAAAGAATTATCGTTCCATTTTGTTGGAAATATTGTATTTTAGTTAAAGTTCAACTATTTTGATATAAATTTGCATTAAAAGGGCCGTAATATGCATTACATATTCCAAACTGTAAATAAAACTTAAAAAAAAAAAACAATAATACTTCAAAGCAATAATTTAAATCGAGCCAATCCTGCTACTACGTGTTTTGCTGCTTAATAAATTTGGAGGTAACAGATTAAAATAGTCCTTCTTGGATTCAAACTCACCCCGCGTGAGTTCTGCCAACCATCGCATTTAAATATCCTCTGTATTTTACCGCTGTTGCCATATCCTCACTCGAACAGAGGCCTTCGTATGCGCATCGAGTTGCTATTCGCATTGAATCTCGTTCAAGAAGACGGATTTTCGTTTCGAATAGCATCTTGGCATGCGCATCTATTCGTACTCGCATCTTTGCGAACGAGTTCGAGAATCGACCCCCAGACCTGTACCATGGCCTACCACTTTACATTTCCTAAAACCGAGGTCAAAACTTGATATTACGTCTTATTTTTTTTTAACTGTCCTGCAGCTGTTTTGGTAATATTATTCTTTGATTTTATCTCAAACGGTCAGATCACGAACTTTTAATAGTTTATCTTCATAAACAAAAAAATTAGCGGATGGAGACAATACACTGGTATATAAAGAACAGGGGAATATCTCCCAAAAAAAGATATAAAAAATTCCCTCACGATGCAATTTTAAAGTTTTCTACATCTTGTCAACACTCGTCAAAATCAGGTCGGAAACATTCAGATTAATACCTAATACTTTTCAAACATACAAAAATCTCCACTCCGGAATATTTAATTTAACATACCACTTACGTTGTCAATATTACATCAAAATCTGCTAATATTCCCTTTGAAAAATCCACTCGGAACATCTTTCTTTCTTCAGTACTACCATAATACATAAAAACACGGAGTTCTGGACACCATCTGGCAAATTCAGATCTCCAATTCTCTAAACAAATTATTAAGGTTTTTTTTACACAATTTCACTATAAATTAACCTAGCGTTGAAGACGGTACAACCACAAGATGAGTATTTTGGGCTTGGAATGTTTCTTTCAAATATGCCAAAAAAGCTATAACTTGTACAGTCTTCCCAAGACCCATTTCGTCGGCCAAAATACCATTTACACGTTGAGCATGGAGAACTGCCAGCCAATTTAAGCCAACCATTTGATAACTCGTCAGTCGCAATCTGAAAATAATATATCAGTTTAAGTTTCTATTATTACCATAAAACAATACATTGTATCTAATATTTAGTTTCAATTTAAATTAGAAATTGAGGCGATTTGCAAAATATACAAGGACGTTGTATTAATATAACGTCATTGACACTAAATAAAGGAAATCTATATGGGTCATTTGCATTTTGGAGATCCAGAAAAATTGATTTTAAATTGGATGTTTTTTTTTAGTGCTTATAAGCAGAGAAGATGAGTCTAAAACACAATTTGTATTAATGGTTGAGCTTAAATGTCACAGAAAGAGCCAAAAAGATTACTACCAAAAAATTCATCCACGGTCGTGAAAGAATGTTCATGGTTGTGATCATCATAACGTATTTTTAAACATGTTAGCAAAAGTAATCTTAATAACTAGAATAAAATAAACATTTTACTCTTTTTGCGTTTTAGAGGGCTGTCCTCCGATGTCATGAATTCAAGCGATTTTTCTGTGTAGTGCTCGCATGATATTAAAGAACATTGCAAACTTTTCACTTCTCGAAGAAAAATGCTATTAGAATTTGTCAACTTCAATTTATGGGTACGAACAGTGCGGGGAATTATTATTACATTCAAATCATAAACAAAGTTACATAGTGGCTTCGAAAATGCTACGGTTCTGACACCCTCCATGGTCCTGACATTTTTGAGACGTGCCCGTTAAAAAGACGTTTATTTTTTAAATTGTGTGACTATAATATATACATATAACACACTGCTTTAAATGTACATCATCTAATACCTAAAACCATTCCATCGAAAAATAGTCATTTTTACGCTTGTTATGGTGGCCATGGTCCTGACACCCTATGCGGGTCGACGTGTACGAGTATACACCAAATTTGTTTTTTTACAGAAATCTTCAATTTGAAGTTATGGGACATACCCACTGTATTACAACAAATTTCACATCTTTTACAATAGTAGCACAGAGTCTCAAATGTTCATTTGCAAAATTTCACATAACAGCAATGTAATGAAATTACATTATCATTGCAATTCTTGGTCAAAATATGTCAAAAAATTCACACTACTTAAAATTGTAATAATGAAGCTTAACAAAACGACTTTTGTGTGTCAACCCTTGTTTTATATAACACAGAATATGGTAAACCTCAAATCAGAAAAAAATCTGTGCAATTTGAAGTAGAAAACGTCAATCTCAGTGATTATTAAATTTTGACACGAAATTAAGTATGGATTTTGAAGAATAAATACATGTTATTTATAAATTCAAACATGTAATGTAATCATTTCATTAAAAAATTAAGTAGGAAAGGGCAAATCACAATTTTTTTCCACGAAATGATAATGACCCATATGTATACATAAAAGGCAATGTTCCGATTGACGCCCAACCCAAACCGCTAACGATAGAAATTTAAAATTTGGAGAGGATGTTCATTTTATACTGAAGGCATCGTTTAAGAAAGGATTTCTCAAAATTCATCCCCCAAAGGAGTGAAAATGGCTGGTAAATTTTGCATGGGAAAAATATTTCTACTGTAAATTTAAATTTTTACGTGAAACTTGGTATTAATGCTGTTCAATACAAATAATGAAACCCGTATTTAAGCATTTTCCAATATTCAACCCCTAGGGGGGTGAAATGTAGTGGCTAAGTTTGTATGGGAAAAATATGTTTATTGTAAATTTAAATTTTTACCTGAAACTTGGTATTCATGTTCAACACAAGTAATGAACCACGTATTTCAGTATTTTCCGAGAATCAACTCCCAAGGGAGTAAAAGGAGTGTGGCTAGTTTGTATGGAAACAATATTTTTATGGTAATGTTTACTTAAAACTTAATATTAATGCTCTTCAACACATTTTTTACTTGAAATTTGGTAATAATGCCCTTCAACACAACGAATCGTCTACGAAAACCTAATGTAATATATAATTAATATAAAATTTTATAATAATCGGTCCGGTAGTTTTAGAGATTATCTGTGTAACAAAGATTGACACATATGGACGCACGGACGGACGGACGAGCAGACGGACGGAAACGGGACATCTATGTTTTAGTACTCTACGGGTCATGACACATCGATAAAAGTAGCCAGTCGCCCGATGGACTCGATTACAATATTTACTTAGCTTATACTCGGGAAGTAATAATAAAGGCAGATTCATAAGCTACAAGTATAGAAGTGTGTTATTGTATTAAACTTGAATAACATCTACTACGCAATATTTTGAGATGACGTCAGCACAATGGTGGGGATGACAAACAAATTTTGGTTAGAGTTGTACGCTCTACGTAATATTCATAAAATACATATAAAATTTCACAAAAATCAGTCGAGTAGTTTCGGAGATAATCCATCAAATAAAATCGCCAACAGACCACAAACAGCAGATCAATTTTCCATATTCTAGGGGTCATGAAACCTTGAAGAAATCTGAAAGTAACAGTTCGCCAGATGGACCCCATTACAAGACACAGTACATTTCCAGCTTACGATGGAGACGTAAAAAATGAATGTTTAAGTTCTAATAACTATGAGTTCCAACAATGAGAAACAAAAAAAAACTACTATACTTAAAACTGATTACGTCATTTGAAAAATATATAGGGTGACTGCGAAATATATGCAATAATTTTAACAACGGCATCCCCCACCCTAGTAGTGTCGAAATATAGAAAAAACAAATCAAAAATCGAATGGGTCAAAACCCCTACGAACCACCCTCGATACGAAGGCACTGAGCCACCTTGTAAACAGAGTTGGAAAAACGTTCGAATAAAAACGACTTTTTGCTGCTTATCATGCGTTCATTAATTTATTCATTCATCGTTAAAGGTCAGTGCGAAAATTTTTTGGTAATGCTTCATGATGATCGACTTTTGATTCTGACGGATGTTTGGTCCTTGCCACAACGATTTTACATTGTTTATTGGAACAAAAATAAGGGCAACTTAGAATGCTACTACTTTTTACAAGAAATGTTGAAAATGTTGTCCTTGACTAGCAATACAGGCGTCAGAGCGTTGCAAGATGTTCGTTGATAGATAAAAAAACACCAGAGCAGCGGCTGCCACTTTCACTTGTTGTTGAAGCTCTCACATACACATTTATCGAAAACCGTCTCTTAAAATCGTACTTGTTGACGAGCATGTGGAGTTTCATCGGACAAAAAGTGAGTGTTGTCGCTGTTGAAGACAACATTGCGTTTGAATCCTGCTGCATCCGTAAACAGAATGCACTTTAAAAAGTTAGGGCGTTCACGACACTGCGGTAACAACCATTTGCAGTAAATTACACAACGTGGACAATCAGCCGCCTCCAAACCTTGCACTTTGTCCTGTGAAACTCCAACTTCTTCTTTCTGTCCTATCACGGCCACGATCGTGAGTTTGAAGTTGAAGGTACCATGATCTCGGAGACGCTGTACCACTGATGCAAATGTTCGCGCACACAAATTACCATATCGACACATTCTGTATTGGAAAACTGCACCATAGACCGATTTCACCGACTGCTCGATGCTGACTGGCCCTTTTCGTGTTTTTCACGTTGCGATTAAAAAAGTGCCTGATAAAGTCACTTTTTTGGTTCTTAATCCGAGTCGCTCTGCCCCATTCATTGTAGTAATCATGTAGGTCACGAAACATTACCAGTGGCTCGTATAACAATTTACATTTAATTTCAAATATTTTTTTCTAGACACTGCTACCACTTAGGACCGTGGATTTTACGCAGTGACATAATTGTATTGTGAGCTATTCCTCATTTTTTTTGCATGTATTTTGCAATCACCTTGTATATTGCACATTTAAGACAGGATTTATTCAGCGAAATTTTGAGGTGACGTCATTAATTTTTTAGGGGGGGGGGGATGAACAAATACATTTTGACTAAAAATTTACCATGTCTATGATAGCTTTAAAACATCTCCAATATTTCAAAGCATTCGATATTGTAGTTCCTGATTAAATCAATAAAACAAATTCAAGCATTCATTAATTTTTTTGAGTCACCCTGTAGATGCAAATCCAAAACATATGAATGGAAAGATAAATCACAAGTACAGACTCATCATACATTTTAGATAGGATTTATGCGGCAAACTTTTGAGCCGACGTCATCAATTTTTTGGAGGGGATAAGTAAATATATTGTGATTAAAATTTTATTATGCTTATCATAACTGTAAACCATCTGCAAGATTTCAGAGCATTCGGTTTTGTAGATTCCACATTAAATGTCAAAATGTTGTTTCCTAATTTTGATTTTTTTTCCAAAAATCTAAACGTTTCGGGTAAAATCTCAATTCGGAGTCATAAACTACATGTGTAAGACTATGTTATTCGATACAATTTAAAACCAAATTACTATGTACAATTTTGAAGTGGTGAATTTTGGTTAGCGTTTTACCATCTACATGATATACCTAATGTAAATACAAAATTTGACAACAATCGGCCCAGTACTTTCGGAGAATCTGTCTAATAAAAATCCAGGACGGCAGACAGACAGACGGAAACGGGAGACCTATTTCTTCGTCCTCTAGGGGTCATGATACGTTGAGAAAATGCAAAAGTGGCAATTCGTCCGATGGACTCGATTACAATACTTCCTTTGCTTACGCTTGGGAAGTAAAAATTGGGAGGTGTTGAATGGTTGCTACGTAGATTCTATTGTTTATTGACTCCATTTGTGAAAATTTGTGAAGTTGGTGAAAAATGCAAGAGAGCAATTTTGTTCCCGAGATAATCCTTCAGGAAGCTGAAGAAGCAACTCTTCAATTATTGCCTCCGAAGTCCAGAGAACATTATGAAAAAGTATTTTCCGAATTATATGAATGGAAAGAAAAACGAGGGGTAATGACAATAAATGAGGAAGTTCTGCTATATTGTATTTCTTAAATTTGAAGAAGAAATGTACAATTTCATCAATGTGGTCAAAGTACTTGATGCTGAAAGCAGCTATAAAGGTCCATAAAAACATAGACATTGAAAAATAGAGTATGGTCACTGCCTATCTGAAGAGTGAGTCGAGAGGGTACAAGGCGAAGAAAGCTGCGGCATTGGAAAGAGCACACGTGGAAGAATTTTTGACAAGGGCTTGCGATAAAGAAAATTTGATGATTAAGGTAATATCTCTTAACCTTTTAGACACTGTAGACAATAAACCTTGAAATATTTTAGGTTGCACTAATAATGGGGGTGTCTGATGCCTGTCGTTGCTATGAATTGACAAATTTGAAAATCAGTGATGTAGAAGATACCAGATACCAAGACCGGCATTTCACGAAAATTCACAATAATTATAGAAGAAGGATTCCCTATGAAACAAAAAAGGAAATGTCTACTAATATAAATATTAATGTTAATATTAATAATAAATAGCTATTTTGATTGTATTTTTGATTATTCCACTAGTGGATAAAATGGTACTTTATATGCTTCATAAGTGTGGATAATACTCCAATTATAATGTGACTGTGGATAATAGATATTTATTTTATTAGGAGTTTAAGTGATACTTTATGTGTCGAGTATGGACGATTAAACGCCGAGTGATAGCGAGGCGAATTAAGTCCATACGAATCACATAAAGTCACTTAAACTCCGAATGAAATACAATATTTTATTTTCAAACGATTAATCTTCTTTTGAAATGATTATTTCCTATCTTCTTGGTTCATTAAGGAATTGCCTTGATTTCACTTACCATGGTTACTATGGTTGACAACCACTATGATTTTCACATATTTATACTCCGGCGGAGTATAAATGTTTTATTTATACGCCGGCGGAGTATAAGTAGTACTTATGCGCCGCTCAAACACGGTGTCATAGAAATGACACTTAAACCCCGGTAAGACCGTCATATAAGTGTCAGTTATATGACGTTTGAAAATAAAAAAATTTAATCTAACTCTTGCAAATATTCTCAAATAACGTTTCTGCTGAGGCACAAAATTAATTATATAACATATTATATATTTAATTTTAAAGTTTTCATGATAATCTTATCCTTTTCACAAAATACATGTAAAAGTTTAACACTTAATTCTATGATACATGCAAGAAAGTGGAGGAAAAAGAAGAGTAGGACAAAAAATACTTACGACATAGATAAAATCCTTGGTTGAGTTTTAACACCAGCTCCAGCTGCCACTGCTTTTTCCATTTGTTGGGCCAAATTTGTACACTTCTTCATCAAATGTCTAATATTATTTCGTGTCATAAGTACTTGTTGTGCTGCATTCAACAAATCAGTGTTTAGGTTTTTATTGTTACTGAGTTTTTCAACTAAATCCACCCAACCAGCAAAGGGTCTTGCTTCAATTATTGCTTCAGCTTTCTTTTTTGAACAAAAACTCATTAACTGTAACTCTGCTTCTGTGGCCGTTTGCATGAATTCAAACACCTTCTTCTTGTCACCTGTCAGCTCATCACTTATCTCAACATCAGAATCTTCATCACTATCAAAAACACGTCTGTCTTTAAAATCATGGTTACTTCCTGTGCTATCATCAGTATCATCTCCAGATTTCCGTCTCTTAACTGAAATTAATAGTTACAATATTGGAAAACTCAGTGATAACATTAATTACATTTTTTCTTTTTATTATAAGAAGCGTCGTCTGATGGTGGTGTTTTCCTTTTTAAATAATTAGGTTTATCTTCGACACTTAACCCATTCTGTTCTTTCCACTTGGCATAATTTTCAGATTTTAGTTCTATAGCATGACATCTTGACAATTCAGATGCAGCTTCATCTACTTCAAAATCATGTCTCGACAACACATCATGAATTATCTGAAACAGATATATAAAAACAATATAATTTCTATTTTATGCTGCTTTACCATTGCATCAACAGTTGGGAATGATGACATTAAATATTTCATTTGGCTTTCTTTTTCCAAAACTATTGGGTTTTTCATGCCTTTGCAGCGTGAAATTATGACGGTATGATTCTTTCGGTTCTCACCACTTTGAGAATTGGTACTTGAAGTATCACAGTCTGAATCAGAATCTGACAACGCAATGATCCGTCGTCTCACAGATCCATTTGCCGCTGTAATAAAAATATATATATTATTAATACTGTTGCATTCGTAACAATGTCATATGTTCATAAAATTATTACTTACGAGATTTCACAGAGTCGCTGTTATTACCATGGTCTAACATCGTCTTCTTTTTATTAATACGGTAGTCACGTAAATTTAATAGTGTTGGGCTGTTTCCTCCTGACATTTCGCCGATATAATTTAAAATGTTTAAATGTTCACTAAATTTAATTATAAAAAAGTATTTACTTATTTTTATACGACACTCACGTTATTATAAAACACAAGCAAACGACCACATACCTAACCCACGGAACACTCTTACCTCTCTCCCATCTTTTCTCAGACCTGACAAACACAGGGGACAAACATGCGAAAATCTGTAGAAAGCGCAGAGTGTACCGACCGCTAGGCTATCACACAAAAGAAAATGAATCTGTACAAGAAGGTCGCGGTATAAGTTGGTTATTATATAACGTACGGACAGGTGGCACCACAATGCACCACAATTATTATCTATCATGGCCGACTTCTTTAATATATTTGTAAGTACTAACGTGTATACACCCCGTTCAATTTTTGATTTTCCGTTGAAAAAAATCTTCCGTTTTCTAGTACGTAATCCACCTCAAACGACGTCTTCTGTACGTATCATAGATTTCTGTACTATTTACGTATTGGTGCTATTTACCTTTTCTCGTGCTAATTCTGTCAAATTAATTAACCAGTTAAGTGAACGGCGCGGGAAATTTGAACTCTTACGTTTAAATTCTATAATTGTTTAAGTATAATATACTTAAACAATGATTCTACTATTAAAATAATTTTCTTATATATCCCACCAGTCGCACCATTAAGATTGATGTTTTTACTGTTGATCTGGATACTTACCAAACATGAACGGAACCGCTGGTATTTAATAAATATTTAAATTCAACTTTTGCCACTGCATTTGCTCCGAACGTATGTCATACTACCATTGACTTCCCCCTCGACGTACACGGTTTTGATTTTCAGACGGTGCCAATAAATTTAAAATCATACATAAAGGAGATCTCATATTTGCAAATGTTTCTAATCAATTGCCAAATTAAAAATTATCATCCCAAACTTTTTTCTTTTCACACATTTGTGCTAGAAAAGGAAAAACTTAGCATTCCTGATTAAACCTTTTGGGTACAAATAAATATCACTTTCATTTTAGTACGAAATGGATCTGAAAGATCCATTTAAAAAAAATCACAATATAAGAAACATAATTTATGTCAAAACAAAAAAAATATATATATTATTATATACAATAAAAATTGCACTTCTTAATGCAAAATCCGATTTATTTTTGATGAAAAACTGACCCAGAACTGTTTCTTTGACTTGCCATTTGAATAGTCCTCGGACATGAACAGTTCTTCGACACTGTCAAGTAGATTTTCTTCGGACCTTTCTGGTTCAGGGCCCAACAGCCAAAGTAGTTCTTTACTCCCATCAATTTGTCGCAAAGTTTTATGAAGTTGTTCTTCAACATTAACCATTTTTATGCTCACTTGGGGATTAAAAGCATTTTCAGGGACAACAGCTCTAACCTCAGCTGAATCACTTTTCTTCAGACGTACGTCCCAAGAACGTGGATTATTGGTCCAAAATACATTATAATATCCGTGTAGGGTACGTGCAGCATATGGTAACATTCAAATGCACCCCTTGAGCATTAACATGTTGCCTTTTCTACTGAGAAATGCGAATAATAGAATATCTATCCATAAAAATAAAACACCTTATGTCATAATCGTACTTCATACAGAATTTATCAATTTACATTAACTTACCATGACCTATTACTGGCTATTTAGCATTTTGGCTCGAGTGAACCCTTCGAAGCACCTTTAATTCAGCATCCCAATTGATGTTCAATACATTATTTCATTGCAAAGCATTTTCTCCATTCACAATGCTTCTGCAGTCGTCAACAAAAAAAATTGGTCTAAAGAGTTTAGACAGCACTTCCCTCGCTGTGGGAAACGTGACGACTGCATGCCTATTATGTTTTTTTTTCGCATTACATATTTTTGGGGGAATTTTAAAATAAATTGAATTATTTTTTTCAATTTTGTCATTATTTGGCATTGACTTCTTTGTCATTTTTTTTCTGTGATTGCTGTGATTGCGCATTAAAAAAAATTAAATTGTACGAAGTCGTTTCTGGGGTGTATAATATGTTGCCTATGCAAAAATTGTCAGGTGTGAACAGATAAAATGAACAGCCTGTTTAGTACTTTGTAGTAAGCCGTTTTGAACCAAATTTCCGCGCGCCGAACTTTTGGTAAGAAAAGGTGTAGGAATGGAAAGAAACGAAAACCCCTAAGAGGGAGATGCGCAGAAGGGTGTGTTTGAGCAGGGTGAGTCGCGGCCAGTTCGACTTGGTCTTTCTTTCGAGTAAGACGTCAGGTTGGTGCTCTCTGTGTTTTTTTCAAATGTCTGTGCGCTGTTTGTTTCCTGTTCTAGTGCTGATTTCTTCTAACGGAGTTCCACCCCCCTGACGAATCAGCGAACGTAGGAATTCTCTGCTACGTTCGAACACAGAGAGGTTATTTCGGTGGTGAGCACGTATTTGGTTTGAAGATCCGAGAGGTATGTTTTCCACGTGATTCCGTGTGTGCTGGTGGAAGAAGCGGCGTTGCTTCTCGATGGTTACGGAGTATGTGAGACGCGGGAACCACACACATAATGTGACGCGACAAAAATGGCGGCACTTCCGGATGACGCCATGGCCGTTAATTTTCGTACTAACCTTTTCAACATAATTTCAGTCCGTTTTAGTAGGGCTTTTCAGGGAATTACGTTAGCTAGGGCAGTTTTATTTAGCGAATGTTATGCGGAAAGTTGGATGGCAATTTTCGAGTTATTATTTTGCGTTGCATAATTTGAGCACGTGTGAGTAAAGTAAATTCAAACGCAATCTGAACAAGTGAATCTTTAACAAAATAACGCTGAGAACGGCATCAGAAAATTAATAATATCATAGTCTGGGGGACGGGGGATTTTCTTTGTGTTAGTAACATCAATTAAATTAGGCACATCAATTTGGCTGACATTATAAGATCTAAGATATTTGAATGGTTTTTCCTCGATTTATTATTCGTTTGTTGTAAACCCTAATGCTGGGAAATTTCATGTAGTTTCCAAATATTCAGCCGTTCAAAATAGAAAGAGAAAGTGGTAGGGTGCAAGTACGGGGTGTTGACCGGGGAATTTCAAGGGCAACCTTTGTGAATTTTTGTATTAGTCATTGGGGATTTGTTGTTGACCGAAAACTGTTGATGGATTTGAAAATGAATGTTATTGGAAGAAAGGCACAATTCAAAGCAAATGTGCACTCTCGATTACCTATATTTTATTTATTTTGCATATTTTATGTGTCGTATTTTTATGTGTTGTTTGTTTTTTTTTTTGTGCTTTTATTTATGTGTATTTTGTTTGGGGATGTGTTGGGGGGGGGGGGGGGTGTTTGTTTAATTCGGTCAACAACGTAACTTTGCCCAGACCATTTTAATGCAGTCGTAACTTCTTTGTTTAAGGTCAGATAAACATTTCAATAAAATCCATAGCTTCTTTATTTTCTTTGGTAAGAATCAGCGACGTAAATGTAGCTTAATTTAAAAATCATTGCCAAAATGTGAATAATTTAATCTCTTTCAAAATTCTTGTTCTTTAAAGTTATTGATAAAAACATGAATAATTTCTCATTTCATTTTCCTTGTTGTATAAGATTGTTGATCACACGCGCATAATTTAATCTCATTTAAATTTCTTTGTTATTTAAAACAAGTATTGATGGAGTGTGGCCAATTAAATTTTGCTTATTGCTTGTCTGAAATCCAAATACTCATTTTGATAACGCTAGCTAACTCGGGGGTCGTGTAGCGTGGACGCGGTGGCGTCGGCGTCTCCGTGCGAGTGTCTGCGGGTCTTGCTAGACTTCCGGCCCTAGCGGACTCGGAGTTTTACCGAGCTACCTTGTTTGCGGGAAACAGAAAGGTCAACCTATGTCAGGTGGGTGCGTAAGACCACGCGCGTGAAGTGGTGAGGTAGGACTATGTGGACCTTCACGGGGAGTGTGGCCGTCGCCCTGCCCCCGCTGTGCGCCCCCGTCTTGTTTGTAGAGGCCACACTACCGTAATATCTGGGACGTTGCCATCCATTTATCTTTCTGAAAATTCCGCGACTTTTTATTTTGCTTTTTTTTTGTTGTACTTGTAAGGTTGCTAATATTTATTCTATGTTCTCAGGTTCGAGTGAAAATAAAGGTTTTTTTTTTCTTTGAGGAATAAATTCTTTAGGCTCTTCTGGGACCCTTGGCCAAGGTCTCTTGAGCTCTTATTGGATTTATTTTTCATAGTTTTTTTTTTCCAAATATAAGTTTTTTAAATCCGTCACTCTTCCCGCTCCGCAGTGCGCCAATTTGTATGAACGAACGCCTCCCGCCAGTTTTCAAAACACAATGTAGGGTCCCACTTTTGTAGACGATCACAGCCAAGGCCAAATTTCAAATTTTAGCGGGCTTTTTCAAATTTTGTTCAATGTCAAATAAAAGGCGGGAGGTTTGGGTTATTACAACTTGTAATTTAAGACAAATAGCCAAACACTGATATCAACCTGTAGACGTGATGGTGAAACACAAACTAAACTAAAACATGGTTTCTACGAACTGCAATAACCGGATGACAATGTGACTTTTTTATTGCTCTGACTTCCGTTTATTGAATAAAGCACTACATTTTATTTGGTTTTTGGATGCTGTAATTCACATTTGGTTAATTATAACTTGTCTATATCTAGGGGAGCATCCCCTAGCCTCCCCTAGCTACGGCCTACGAGTACCAAATTGACTAATGGACTCCATTACTGTACGTCCTTAGGTTATCCTCGATAAGAAAAACAACTTGAAAGTGTTTATGTTTATACATCGGAACAATGTCACGTAGAAATTAGTTTGATTTGAATATGTTCGACCCCTCAAAACAGAGTAACAAAACAATTAACTAGTAAGCTACAATCAACAAAATGTTCTGCATATTATAATTCTTATTAAATAAAGACGTTTGTATTTTTCACATTTTCGGGAAAATGGGATGAAGCGTTCTTAAACTGATCAATACAAAATATGAACGCTATGATGAATCACAAGTAAAAACTCATATTTTGCACATTTTGGGTAGAATTTATTCCGCAAAATTTTCAGATAACGTCATCAATTTTTGGGGGGAAATAAACAGATTTATTTGGATTAACAGTCTATCATGCTTACAATGTCTTTAAAACGTCCACAAGATTTCAAAGTATTCAGTTTTGCAATTCTTGATTTAATCAATAAAATTAATTGACTCAGTCATTATTTTTTTTCAGACACCCCGTATAAACAAATCTAAAAAACATTAATGCAGTGATAAATCACAAGTATAGACTCATCATTCTTTACCCATTAAACTTGTTACAGAGTTAAACTTAATAGTAACATGAAGATAATTATACAGCCTTTATCGCTTGCAGCAAGAGGTATGTACATAGTTAAGATTTCTACCTATGCGGCTATGCGGCGTATTTTGTCTGTAAAATCAAGCTCCCATAAGAAACCCATAGCAGAAT